TAAGGTTCATTTTTGGCGTTGGCGCCAATTTGGCGCCAAGGGTGCTTTCACCAAATTCGCTGTAAACTTACACGTAGGGGTTATCTGAGGTTCTGATCACGAAAATAAGGTTCATTTTTGGCGTTGGCGCCAATTTGGCGCCAAGGCTGTTTTCACCAAATTCGCTGTAAACTTGCACATAGGGGTAATTTGGGGTCCTGATTACGGATATGTCATTCGTTTTTAGCATTTCCACCGTTCAACGCACATTTTCCATTCTCCAGGGTCCTTTCACTTGTACATAATACCTAGGACTGAGCCTAGAAGGAGGGAGGACTCCGGGGTGGGTGAACCAGTCAACATGTGGCAAACGTTAAAGCGTATAAGATCACAGGATAAGGGCACTATTCAACAATTACGACCCCAAAAACTCAAAATTTTATTTTTCGTCGAAACTTCACCTTAGGAGTAATTCGGTGCCCTGATCACGAAAATGACATTCATTTTTGGCGCTGGCGCCATTTGGCGCCAAGGCTGTTTTCACCAAATTCGCTGTAAACTTGCACATAGGGGTTATTTGGGGTCCTGATCACGAATATAACATTCATTTTGCGCCTGTGGCGCCTGTTTTCCGCTCGTCTGCGCCCTCTCACTGATCACCTCGCGATCGGGACTAAGCCTTTGAGGAGGAGAGTGCTCCGAAGTGAATAACACTTATCCTGTGATCTTATACGCTTTAACGTTTGCCACATGTTGACTGGTTCACCCACCCCGGAGTCCTCCCTCCTTCTAGGCTCAGTCCTAGGTATTATGTACAAGTGAGAGGACCCAGGAGAATGGAAAATGTGCGTTGAACGGTGGAAATGCTAAAAACGAATGACATATCCGTAATCAGGACCCCAAATAACCCCTATGTGCAAGTTTACAGCGAATTTGGTGAAAACACCCTTGGCGCCAAATGGCGCCAAATGGCGCCAGCGCCAAAAATGAATGTCATTTTCGTGATCAGGGCACCGAATTACCCCTATAGGCGAAGTTTCGACGAAAAATAAAATTTTGAGTTTTTGGGGTCGTAATAGTTGAATAGTGCCAAATTATGTGGACACCCCTGAGGCAGATGAAGTTTTGCATCGATTTCCTAACCTATTTTTACTTCTCCTTTCGTTACTTATTCTGGCATCATTCCTCTTCACGGCAAGCGTTTTTCTGAAGAAGACCGAGCACAGAAATGGGATCCCCATGCTTCTGAACCTTCCTATTGCGAAATAGCACGTCAACCAGTCATGCGTCCTCGTAGGTTTGGAGAGAAATCCGAAATCCTGATGCTAAGCTCTCGACCTTGACTGAGGGTTGTTCTCAATCGCTACTTGTTCAAAACAGGAGAAGAATAGCCTTAATTTTCTCAAATTATTCTTTTCGTACTACTCAACTTTACGCATAAATGATCTTCCCGATCTTAAAAAAGACCAATCGGTGTCTCATTCAATCAATTGAGCACACGACACGAAAGAAGATGAAGAAGGCTTTGTATATGAATGCGGGTTCAGGTTGGCAAGGTTGGAATTCCCACTCAAAAAAGGATCACAACATGATACTTTGAACCCACACAGACAGTGCTTTCGTGGAAATGGTAAAATTAGTATAAAAGACTTTCTGTGGAAATTTCTCTCATAGACCAACTCGACTGGCAGAAAGAAGCTTATTCCTCACTATTCGGGTGGGTCTTGAGGTTTTTGGAGAGACTTTGGTGAAACCCGCAGATGTGCTCGAAGAATTGAAGTTTGGCTGGCCAACATGTCAGGTAGACGACTAGGATTATAATGAGGTGCTTGAGTCCCGGCTACAACCTTTTTCGAAAAGTCATGGTTGCAAATCACTTGTTTTGCAGGGGAGGTCCCTGACACCATTCCATTTGGAAAAATGCTAAACGCAACGGCTTTGATTGGCAAGTCGGCTAGCGTATTCCTCAGACTTCATCCTTATTGAAAACGTAGAGGTATCGTCATTGAACAAAAGAGTAATATCACAAGTGACCTAACACGTCGGTGAAATTTGCTAGTTGGGAACAGATCTGCAAGACATGTATCCAGACCCCATTCATAGCATGCCAAACAGAATGGCTCAACTTACTAGAAACTTTGGTAGGCCTACCGATTTCAGATTCTGAAGATATTGCCGTTTTTCAAAAAGTGTCCACATAATTTTGATACAAAGAAAAAACTTTCCATGAAAAATAGTTCGCTAAGTTAGAACGAAATCTTTTGCCGAAAATATCATTGTAGGTTATCGACCACTAGGAGTTGAATGGTGGAGGTTTCATGACATAAAAGCCTTTAGCTGACCCCTGAGAATCGATTCCAGGGTGTCCACATACTTTTGGTACGCACTGTAGTGCCAAATCTCACGATAACATGGATAGTTGTCGAATTCTGAGCCTTGAATCGTTTTAAATTTGTCAGGCCTCACAAACAAAAGAAAACAGGGAACGCTACAAAAACTCAACGGCAAATTTCTTCAGTGTAATTCTAAATGGTCGTAGCCAACTACACCCATAATGAAGGCTTTCACATCATCACAGGAGGGAAGGCTCAATATCGAAACAAAGGAGCCAGTGATTATGAGAAAACGAGCAATTATTCAACAAGTAAATGCAACAGGTAAACAACAGCAAAAGAACAGCCACGAGCATTTGATTGCTCAGTTTTGGCGCGGCTGGACCGTTCTCAGTGGAGCGCAAAAACCATCCAGATTGTGGGTTTGACCACATGAAGAGTGTTACTCACCGCTATTAAACGCTAGCCGAAAACCGGATAATTTCAATCGTTTATTTACAACATATAAATACCTGCGACATTAAAGTTGTTTGAGCAGAAAAATGATAAGTGAACATACATCAACTGGAAGTAGCAATCTCAGTCGAGCAGCGACAGCGCTGCGGTGGGAGTAGGCGAGAAAGAAGAGAATCGCGAAGTATCATAAGGCAGGTGAACAAAAAAGGGGAAGTGGTAGTATTTCCAAGAATGAACTTCCGGTTGACTTTGTAGTGTGCGCAAGAGAATAACTGTGACGTGATAGTGTCAAAGTGAGGAGTCGAAGGATTAGAGTACGATAAGTGATACAAAGCGATCCGTTGCCAGACAGACCGATCCCACATGGGCGGAGGGAAGCCATCACGCGGTCGATGGACCTGGCTCTGCTAGTCTCTCGTCGTCACCTTGTTCTAAATCCAGTTGTTTTCCGGTGCGGACCTGAATTACGGAATTGGTTTTTATCACTATTCACGAAGAAGCACATCCCGAACGGTGCTGAATCGA